GTTAAAACGGCACTGAAAAAAGTGACTTATGACCATCTTTCACACTTACGACCGTTGCAGCATCCCCATGGTCATGTGATCAAAATTCAGATGCTTGGCGACTGACTCATATTTATGACGGTTGCAGTGTCCCAGGGTCATGTGATCTCCTTTTGCAACCTTCTGATAAGCAAAGTCAATGGGTTAACAACCGTGTTACCAACTTTACAACTGCAGTAATTCACTTAGTAACGGTGGCAAGAAAGGTAGTAAAATGGGGCAAAATTCACTTAAGAAATGTCTCACTTAGCAACAGAAATCTTGAGCTCAGTTATGGTTTGTAAATTGAGGACTACCTGTATTTACTTCTAATTTCTGGCAAAAAATAGGTTGATTTGATAAAGCCTGCAAAAAGGTTGTAAAATCGTGTGTGTGTAATTCCAAGCTCAATTACAGTCATAAGTTGAGGACTAACTATAGGTAGACTAGAACTGGGACTCCGTGTTCCAGGTCAACATTTAACTACTACACCATGCTGGCATTTGCTGTGACTGTCACTTCAGCTTCCAAAGTTACGATGTGTAACATAAAGTTAGAAAATTCAACTTTTTGCTGGCTGCAGACTGCGTTTAATATTGTGGGTGGCTGAGAGTCATGGTGAGTGGATCCAATGTAATGGAACCAGAATTTTCTCTCTCCTCCCTCCCCCTAAGCTTTAAAGGGAATTCAATGCATGTTTGTACATTATATTGACCTATTTTAGAACATAGACTGCAGATTTTTGTTTTCTTTGTTTTACAAGAAATCATACCACTAGTGTTAGGAAAGCAATGGTCAAAGGTGGATCTGAGGATCATCAAACAAACAAACTCTAACTAATCTAACTTTTTCTTCAAGCACTAGATAGCTGTAAATGAGAACATTGAGAATGTTTCTGTGATAGAATACTTTGGATTATGTAGCTTGCATTTAGCTAGAATGATTAACATTTTTAAACTGTGCAGCAAGAGGGCAATGTATAGCCTGCAGGCAGTATAAATACAAAAGAACTAATTTGGTGGTTCCCAAGTTAATAGCATATTCAGCACATTAATTTAAGAGATACTCAAAGACACTTCTTTCTTAAAAGAAAGAGATAGCAATTAAAAAAGGATCAGTATGGAAAGCATGGAAAGGAGGAGCATCACATATTCATAAAGATGAGCCCCAAATCAGGATTTAGAAAGCCCCTCACAAACAAACAAAGCTAGTTCTCAATTTACAAACAGTTCAATTTAATGACCATTTAAAGTTACACTGGAAAACATGACTTATGACCATTTTTCACACTTCGAATATTGCAGCATCCTCATGGTCATGCGATGCTTGGCAACTGATTTAGATTTAGGATGGTTGCAATGTCCGGGGATCATGTGACCACTTTTTGCAATCTTCTGATAAGCAAAGTCAGTAGGGAAGACAGATTCACTTAATAACTGTGTTACTAACTCAAAAACTGTGGCAAGAAAGATCTTAACATCGGGCAAAAACTCATTTAACAATTATCTCGCTTAGCAACAGAAATATTCTGCTCAATTGTGGTTGTAAATCAAGGACTACCTGTAGGAGGCCAAGTGGATTTTGACAGGGCAAGAGTTAATCCCCAAAATGCTTCTCTTGCTTGCTGCACTCCAATCTCTTGACTTCCAGATAAACCATCATGGTGAATGAAGTGATGGAAAAAATGTCTGGGTGCCGAAGTTAGTTTAAGCCCAGAAGGGTACGAGTCAAGTTTGTAAACAGAAGATACACAGGTATACATAAGAGATGAAAGTTTGCTGTTCCTTTAAAAATTGGTTAGGACTGTTTGAGAATGTCGTTTCCTGTCAGCTGGAAATAAAGAATTAGGACAGTGATAGAGTGGCTCAACAGAGACTTAATGAACTTGTGTGTGGCAGGGCAACCAACATCCAAAGAGGTGTTTTTGTATGCTGCACTCCAGCTTTTTGAAAAAGGAGCATTTTCACATGCTGTCACCCAGGGACTGCTTTCAATTCCCTGACCCACTCCTGTACAGCTAGTCCAGCCTGGCCCAATAGCCAGGCCAGGCATGCCTCATCAGCAGTGGGAGCAAAAAACAAACAAACAAAACAACAAACTGAGATGAGCTAGGTGTCAGGCCTGGAAGCCATCTTTTGCATTTGGCCTTCAGGCCTACCACATTTACTACTGTGGGAAATTGGGAGGGGGGATAGTATGGAGCATGGATGATATATAGTCATAATAACATTCCTTTATCAGGGAGTCAAGGACATCTTGCCCTGCACCTGGACAGATGAGACTGGGAAGCATCTCCAGTTGGGACGGTGTTTTGATTGGACCATGTGATGAACATGTGGGCATTGGGCAGGGACTTGAACTTTCCCGGAAGCTTTCAGATTCGGGTTTTCCCGGATGTGCCAATATGACATTTCTAATAAAATGGAACTTTGAGGAAACTCAAGCGTCGGAGCTTTCTTTCTTTGGGGGTGTTACTTGGAACCCTGACAATAGCACACAGATGGGGGAAGATAAGCAGGTGGGGGCAATTGGAGTCAGCCCCTTATGTTACTGAGGGTCAGGGCTGGGAGGTACCAAGCTCAGAATGGGTTGGCTTGGATACTTGCTTAACAATCCACAGTATTTTTTTTGTATATGTTTTATTTACAGTTTTTCTTTAACAACCAACTTTTTTTGTGGACAGTGTAATGACGGGGTTGACATATTTTTCACACAGTGCTCACAGTAATAATACAATTATATATACAGAATTTTTGTCTTCCAACTTCTAGCCTTAATGTGCTCATTATAATTATAATATATTCTTTTGTGTATCAGTCAATATTTTACTATTTTCCCAATTTATCACTCAACAGTTTTTGATTAACAGGGAGAGACAGGATTACAGTCTTAAAGCAATCATGTGGCATCTTGTTTTTAATGATGACATTACTTAGTGACTGAAATTCCATTATCTAGAAACTGGAGTGCAGCATGCTAAAACATGTCTTTGGTAAGTTTGGAAGTTTGGTAAGTATCTTCTGAGCCAGCCTATCACTACCTTAACTGATAATTCAAGTGACTGAAAAGTCAAGGACTACCCGTAGATCTTTTGAGTTGCTTGTGAAATCCAGCCAGAGTTGAAATGTTTTGGAAATTGGTCAGCAACCAAGGAGTAACAATGCTTTTAATTACAATCAGAAGAGAAATGTAAACAATAATTACTACCTTGCCCCATAGTGTTCAGTTATTTCTACCTTGGTCTTTTCCCCCTACATATACCCTAAAATTAATTGGGTATGGCCAGTCCAGAGAAAAGAAGGACTGAGATGACATGATAGAAGTATTTCAGTATTTGAGGGGCTGCAGCAAAAAAGAAAGAGGAGGTCAACTTATTTTCCAAAGCACCAGAAGGCAAGACAAGAAACAATGAATGGAAACTAATCAAGGAGAGAAGCAACCTGAAATTAAGGGGAAACTTTTCCTAACAGTGAGGATAATTAACCAGTGGAACAGCTTGCCTTCAGAAATTGTGGGTGTTTCATCCCTGGAGATTTTTAAGAAAGGACTGGACAGCCATCTGTCTGAAATGGTATGGGTCTCCTGTTTGAGCAGGGGGTTGGATTAGAAGACCTACAAAGTCCTTTCCAGCTCTATTCTGATTTAAATGACACCAGCAAAGTCCACTGGGGAAAGGAAGGACCTCAAATGAATCCTGAACCTCTAGAACTGTAAATCTGTACCTGTTTACTGAATGCAGTTTCTTCCAGATCAAGGGACTTCGGGATCAAGGAGTATTCAAAACATAACCTGCTCCATTATCCACAGCCCTTCTGCCAGGCTGGCTGAACAGCATGGGAGAGGAGAGAGGTTCTGGTCTAACTGTAGACCAGAAAAGCCAAAAGACCCCCACCTCTAGCTGTACCCCGGCTACTGGAAAAATCTTTTCAGGTCTAAGATATTTTTAAATGGGGGGGAGAGAACCCACAGTATTATAGGTTTCCCCCCACTCTGCGGGGTTGAATGATATCTTCAAGGAAAGTAAAAATTGGATAGGTGCAGGAAAAGTATCTGTATTGGAAACAACCATGAATCATAAAATGTGCAATTTAAAGGAGGGGAGCGTTTTATGAAACAAATTTGCAATGTAAAGAGGGAGGGAAAGTATTTTACGAAATAGCATGCAATTTAAGGGGCTGAGGAAAGGTGTTTTGTTTTTATTTCTTCCTCTCTGACCTGGGGGAAGCTGGAGAGGGGGGCATGGGAGAATCTATGACAATTCATCCCGGCTAACTCAGCAGGGTCAACTCATTGCAGGACAAGAGTTAACACTAATATCAAAGAAAATAATAGAATAAGAGTCATCGAAGAGAGGAGCAATGCCAAAGGAGGGACAGAATGAAACGTGAAGGGCAAAATATTTTAATTTTTTTTTTATTTTTTTAAAACTATATTTGGCAGGGGAAAAAATCAAGAATCAAAATACAATCACTGCAAGGTAGTAGAGAAAGAGGAGGATTTGGACTCCCAGATTGGGAAACCTACTACAAAGCAACATCACTTATATGGATCAAAGACTGGATGGAATTACGAAATAAAAGAATTTTAGCATTAGAGGGATATGATTTGCAGAGGGGGGGGGCACGCTTTTTTGTGGGAAGGAAAAAAATAAACAGCATAACTATTTTCAACCACACTTAATTAGAGATGCACTAATTACAAACGTGGCAAAGGGATAAAAAAAAAATCATTATGATAAAATTCCAGAATGGTTCTCCACAACGGAGGCACCAATCTACCCAAATGCATTAGACATGGATGAAATGAAAAGAGAACCGAGATCTGTTAAAACAGTCAAGGGGAATTTCAAACAAGGCAGGAATGAAAAGAACAGGCTACAGACATTGATTGGTGGCCTTACCTGCAAATAAAATATTTTTTTTTTAAAAAAGTGAAATTGTCCCGCAGGCGAGTTTCCCCAAGCCTGGGGAGAGCGGACTCACCGTTTTTCCCGCCGCCGCTCATCAGCGCCTCGCGGAGCCCTTCGCGGAAGGCTTTGCTGCTATCCACGCACCGGTGCTTGGAGCTGCTGGTGAAGGCCAGGCGCCGACCGGGAGCCAGGAGGCTGGGGAAGCGGGAGGCCAGACGCTTGGCCAGCATCCCCATGTCGCTGAAGCCTTTGGGGGCCAGCTTCCCGTCCATGCTCGGCTGGTACCACATCTCCCATCGCGCCAGGCGCTCCGCCACCGAGCAGCGCTTGCCGCCGCCGCCGCCCCGTAGGAGGCCGTGCAGGCTCGCCAGTTTCTCGATCTGCTTGCGGGTGGGGAAGCGCGTGCCGTGGCGCATCACGGCGCTCAGCTGAAGCGGGGTGCAGGAAGCCGGCGGCAGCGGGAAGCCCGAGAGCGGCGGCCCGAGCGACAGAGGGTCCCGGAGAAGGTACGGGTGCAGCTCTTCGTAGCGGGATTTGGTGCCGAAGAAAGGGCTCAGCAGCGTGGCTCGCTCGGCCGCCTCGGCGTCGCCCTGCAGCTCCCCATTGGCCAGAAGGAGCAGCAGCAGCTGCAGCATCGGGACGAAGCGCGGGCGGGTGGCTGGGCACCACATGGCGGAGAACGACGGCAACCCGCTCCGTGGAGGAGAGCGCGAGTCCTCACTGCCGCCGCCCGCCTCCCTTTTGTTTCCCTCCCCAGGTTGGAGAACGGCGGCCACGCCTCGGCACGGAGGCAACCCCCTGCCTTCGTTTCCTGCCCTTCTCCAAAATGGCCACCTTTCTGCATGACGTTTGAGCCTCTGGAAGGCCTCCTCGCCCACAGTCAGCATGGCGCTCGCTCCTCCTCCTCCTCCTCCTCCTCTGGCTCGTTTTCTTAAATCATTCTAAGCCAGGGGTGGGCAACTGTGGCCCTTTTACAACCTGTGGACTTCAACTCCCAGAATTCATGAGACAGCCAAGCTGGCTCAGGAATTCTGGGAGTTGAAGTCCACAGGTCATAAAGGGGCCATGTTTGACCAGCTCTGTCAAGCAGCAGGGGACTCCCAAGCTTGCCCACTTTAAGACTTGTGGACTTCAACTCCCAGAATTCCTTAGCTACCTGAGGAATTCTGGGAGTTGAAGTTCACAAGTCTTAAAGTGGGCAAGCTTGGAGACCCCCTGTTGTATAGGACGAAATTGGAACCCTGACGCAGCCCAGCCTCACAGTCCAATTTTAACATAGAATAGAATAACAGAGAATAAGGGGGTTGGAAGGGACCTTGGAGATCATCTACTTCAACTCCACCTTGAGCAGGGCCTATAGCCCTATACCATTCCAGACAAGTGGCTGTCCAGTCGCTTCTTGAAAACCTCCAGTGAGCAAGAACTGAAGAAGCTGCTTCTCTGCTTGACTAGTTTCCATCCATTGGTTCTTGTCTTGCCTTCTGGTGCTTTGGTAAATAGTTTGCCTCCCTCATCTTTGTGAGAAACCTTTAGTTTTTGTCCTGTATGGCCAATGCAGGCAATAGCAAGGCTCTTTCCCAGGCCTCCAGGGAGAAGGATCTAAAGCTAACTTCGATAATGCTAAAATGTCAGTGACATGACGTCAAAATACAAGAGAGCAGGGATCTGGCTGACATGAGCAGCATCTGGACGTAAGGACTGCCCTCCTTTGGGTGTTGCGGTGTCTATCGAACTTTCATCCTTTTGAAGAAAGTGGTGGGTTCTTGTTGGCTCCACTCTTTCACACCCGTTTTGTGATATCACAAAGTCAAGTTTTGGGGTTTTTTCTTTATTATGCAATTATAAATCTTAATACATTGTATTGTCTCAGTACAGTGATGTTTCAGTTAATATGATTAAATATTATTGACATTCTATTATTTAGATAGCTTAGAGTACAGTACTGAAAATAAAGAAGAGAAAAAAGCATTCTATCAATATTAAAGACAATTTAGGATGTCCATGTTACAAGAATATTTTTTTTTTAAATTTGAAGTTGAGTATAACACTGAGAAATGAACCACTACTTCAAAGTATTTTATTTATTAATCAAATTTGTATGGCTACTCATCACACAAAAGTGATTCTGCAGGCTCCATCACCTACTGTATATATTCTTATGAACCGGTCTCAAGTTGAAATGCCTATTAGCATTCAATGACACGTAACGTTTAAAAGAACAGTTCCTGATTGGTTACTAATTAAAAACAAGGTAATATGCAATGTTTTCTCAATATACAGTACAGAAGCTTTCATACCTTATAAATATACATTTCAAGATGTTATTTACAGCGATATATATTTCTAAACCATTAACTTCCAACTTTAGACCTTTTTATAATTTTTATATCTTACCATACCTGAGTTAGTAAGTAGACATTTTTTTGACTGATGAAAACTCCTGGAGCCAATTGACGAATACCAAGGTATCACTGTACTTGCAAAAAAGGTAACTGTGGATGTACTTTGATTCCTGATTGATATATGTACAAATTTCTGTAAATTAATATTTAACTCTCAACGTTCCTATTCCTGGGCATATCCACCACAATTGAAAACATGCATGTTTTTCACTGCAGTTATTCCAGCAGAGTCTAATTTATTTTTAGTTCTAGATTCCAGTTTCACAATAATCATATACCATCTACCAATTAGTTGTTTGTAAGGCCAAATCTTATTACAAGCCCCTTTCTTAATAACTTTTATTTCATTTTCCAAAGAGATTTTAATTTGCCTAGTGGCAAAATTTTATACCATAGTAAGAATGTAAAAACAGCATATTTGTCAATGCATTAATATATTGAATTAATTGAAATAGAGGAACAAAACCAAGTAATTGAATAACAAACATGTGATTGTTTCCTTGAATCAGATTGAGCCACAGCTCTTCTCTGCTATGTTCTTTCCTGCCCTGAAAAACAAACTATACCAGTGAAACTTCAACTATCTCTTTTAGAAATTTGGAAGTAATAAGTACCTTAAACGCTCAATAAACACCACCTAAAGTCTTCTGTTAAAATAACTGGCTAGTGAGCAATTTGGAGTAGTAATGAAGGAGTTGACCTAGAAATCAGGAGATTTCTAATCCTGCCTTAGACATGAAAACTAACTGGATAACTTTGGGCAAGTCATTCTCTCTCAGCCCAATTTACCTCACAGGGTTGTTGTGAGAAAATAGGAGGAAAGATTATTAGCTATGCAATAGTGGTGAATATCTGTAGCTCAGGTGCAGGATGACAGTGAAGGTTCAATCTCCGAGCTTGTGGGTTGGTTTCCAAACATTTCATTACCAGGCTAAGTAACATCTTCAGCAGGATTGGGTTAGGGAGATTGACACTAACATCCCATAAACTCCACTGAAGATGTTACCTAGCCTGGTAATGAAACGTTTGGAAACCAATCCACAAGCTTGGAGAATAAATAAAGTCTGTTTTACAGAATTGTTTGGGAGTGAATTGTGTTGCTCAGTAAAGCTAAAAAAAGATGCTAAAAAAATTGCATGTGCTGTGGTGTGAACATGGTACCTGTCAGTAATTCTTTAAAGATGTTTTCCTGGGATCACAGAACTGCTTTAGAAAGATGCACAGATGTATTATCTTTGTATCCCTGAATACGACAAAGTATTTTGAGGGAATCTGGTCACAGCAGACTTGTATTGCTCAGAATGTGTCAGATAAAGACCAGGTCTACCTATTTCTATGTTTAATAGAAATCTGTCTTTTTGTAGCTCCCAGTTTAGTGGGGAAACTGGGATGAAGGCCTCTGGAGGCCTCTTGTAGTATTTGAGCATGTGCAGATAAGACACAGCTATATGGAGCTGTAAAGAACACAAATGCCCCTGAATTAGGCTTTTGTGCATCTGAAAAAAATATTGGTGTCTCTAATTGTATTGGTCAATCCCAATACATAAGTTTGAACTGATTTTTTCCAATAACACAGAAGAAAATTCGACTAGATGTAGTGCATCTGATATCTTAGTACAGTAAAATTAGTTTAGAATTAAAGTCCTCAGCAGAAATTATATCTCATATCTGTTTTGGCTGTGGGTTTTATAGAAGAAAACAGTTTCATGTCCAAAAGGCCTTAGATGGCTGCAAAGCTAGAACACATGATAGTTAAAATTAGTCCTTAAAACTGCATTTCTTAGCATTTTTTTTAAAGAAGTAGATGCCTATTGTCAAAATAATCTCAGTTGGGGTTCTTTTTTATTTAACAGTACACAAGAGGAGAATTTAACAGCTGACTAAACATTACATGTTAATTTTTGTCCATGTTAATGTTTTAAAGTTTTATACATTCTGCCAAATAAATAATCATCCAAATCTGAAAAAAAGATTTGAAGTATAAAGAATGAGACTCAAGCAAGAACAAAAAGTAACTTGTTCATTTAGGAAGAACGTTTTGCACATTAGCTCTTTTCCTGAAAAGCCCAGCGGCTTTCTGTACCCATTTTAATATAACAATGATTGTATTATATATAATAACTGTTTAAGTATGTAGTACATGATCCCTTCCTTGCACCAACTCAACTCTTCTCTATGTTCTCTCCTTGGAAAATGAATCACACAAATGCAATTCACACCTTTCTGACTTAGAAATATAGAAAAGAATGAAGGCTTCAAAATTTAATGAATGTTTATCAAAACTATGCGAAGGATTTGATGAAAGAAGCACCTCTCTGAAATCTGCTCTTTAAAATTGCAATGTGGCTGCAGCCATTCCAAGATTGGGTGTGTGCATATCCATGTGATTATAGGAATTGATATAAACCAAGTAATTACAAAAACAATTATAGTATTCAGCCTAACAAGTATTCATTCCCCAACAAATGTTTGTTTATTTTTCACGTTTCTGAACCTCCCATCTCCCTCGAGGTTTTAGAAGAAGACAAGCTGGATGTGTAGATCTCTAGAAAAGATAATTCTTTAATGGAGCATATGCTTTGCATGGAGGAAGACTTAAGATCCATTTGACTACCCCAAGGAAAGTGGAAATGTTCTCCTTGAAACCCTAAAACGGTTTCAATGCTATAGAGTGACAATATAAGACAGTTCCTTATGTGGCTATTCTGCAGAATCTCTGCTACATCAAACAGTGTACATGTTAGTGAGAATTTAATATAGATCTTATATCCCAATTATACTGGCTTATTAGACACAGGAATTGTTTTTCCTGTTTGATCTATCCATTCTGTGCAAGAAACCAATACACAGGCAATCGTGTGTAAACTAACAAGAGTTCTTCCTAAAGAAAAATGGATAGAGTGTGTTTATCATCTGGAAAACAAAACAAAATTAATTTGGGATGAAAGGCCAGAACCTGATGTAACTCGCAACCTCACTTGTTTGATCTTTGGTAGATATGAATTTTGGGATTGTGATCATGCTTACAACAAGTCCCTTGTAACCATATTGTGAGATAACTCTTAATATCTCAAAGCAAGTTTAGCCTCAATAAATGTACAGTGTATCATGTTCTATGCAAAGAATCGAGCATAACCAATCAAGGATAATTGCCTAGCTATAATTTCCTCCTGCACATAAATTGTGCTTCCTTGACTATACATGGATGCACACAAAGATAATTAATCTATTATCAGGCTGATGATTCTCATTCAGTTATTAATGCATTTAAAAATAATAAGCAGAATATATAACCAATTAACAATGTTAAAATAATGTTTTCCGCCATCTGTCCTATAGATTTGAGGCCTATAGTTGACCTGAATAACATTTCAACTAAAGCATGAACATATGCTTTCATGCCAAAACCTCATCAATTCATGAGGTTTTCTTGTGAACAAAAATTCATTTCAACAGCCTGTTACATTTTTTCCCCTAAAAACAAGACCTAATCTGAGAGAATTTGATTTCACAGATGGCTTAA